CCCACTAAATTGGACTTGCCCATATGACTTGCTTTGGCTCAGGATAGTCATTATAGTTGATAATTCATATTTCAAAACTGTTAAAAGAGAAGATTTTAAAGATTCTCACCAAAGAAATGTTAAATATGCTAGATATGTTTGATTTAATCATTCCATAATGTATACACATATCATAACATCACATTTTTACCCTGTAAATACACACAATTATTTTTTGTCAATTTGAAAAAATGTGAGTGGAAACAACAGGTTGGTAATTCTGAGCCTAGATCATAAGAGGCATAGTATGTTTCTGGTTAATTCTCTTGGACATCTGCCATTACCATGACAAGAATATATGCTGAATACCATCAGATTCCCCCTAAATGAGAGACACATGGGATAGATCTAAACCAAGCAAATGGCCTGAGTTAATCCCTGTCAAACTCAACTGAGTTGGATGAACCTTAGCTGACCTGAAGACATATGGACAAAAAATAAATGCTTTGATTATAAATCATGAACTCAACCAATATTGTTGGGAAATAGTTGACTGATACTGATTTATAATGGCCATTGGTGAACTTATTGGCAGTTGTTTTGAGGAAGGGATGGAGAGGAAGCGTAATTTAGAGGATACTATGGCATAAGAGACTTGGAGAAGGTCAACGCTTAGCCAAAAAGTGACCAGACAGAGGCTTTTTATTTGCTTTTGCTTTTGAGATGGAAGAGACTAGACTATGTGTAAATGGTGTGGGAGAGAAGTAATTGGGAAGGTGTTATTATTTAGGAGAACTAAGAATAATCGATGGCATGTAGTGTCTGACATGGTGAGATGGGATGTGATTTAAAACACAGGTGGAGAGATCAGCCATAGCACAACAAGGGGGGTGGGTACCAAATCTAATGTACTAAAAGGGAATTGAGAAGGATGGGAGGAGATTTGAGTAGACTTAAATATCTGATGAGGGAAATTTGAGGGTATTCCATCTAATCACTTTAAGTGATTCATTCCTTTTTTTGTGATGGAGGGAGCAATATTGCTTGATTAAAATTGGGCTAGAAGCCAGTTCCCAAAAAATATGAATGATAAGTAATAAACACAGCTATCTGTTTTTCCCTACAGAATGTCCTACAAAAGCCACAGCTTGTATTTTGGCATTGGAGGACTACAAGATCTGAATGTGAACACTTAACAAAACATCACTGAGGTAAATTAGAGAAGTCTTATATAGAGATTTATACTATATTCATGAGCTGGAAGACTCAGTATTATTAAAATGTCAGTTTCCCCCCAATTTGACATACAAATTCAACACAGTCCCATTCAAAATTCTTTTTTTGGTGTGGGTGGGTGAGTTGGGGCTAAACATTGATAAGGTGATTCTGAAGTTTACATGGAAAAGCAAAGGACTTAGAATAGCCAAAACACTTTTGAAAAGTCGAAGTTTGAATATTTCTGATACATAATTTAAAGACTTACGTTAAACTATATTAATCAAGAACGTGTGGTATTGGGATGAGGTTAGACAGAAGAATCAATGAAAGACAATAGTCCAGAGAGAGACTCATATATGGTCAATTTCTTTTTGACAATGTAACTCAACAGAGAAAGGATTTTACATAAAGTAGATTTCTAATGTACATAAACAGATTTCAAGTATATATACAAGAACAGTTCAACATCATTAGCTGTTAGAAACAAATTAGGACTATAAGAAATTTCATACCTATTAAAAATGTCTAAAATTTAAAAGAGCAAAAATAGCAAGTGCTGAAGAAGATGTGAATAACCCAGGCCTCTCATATTGCTGATGGGGATGTAAAATAGTACATCAGCTTTGGGAAAACAGTTTAACAGATTCTTTTAACATTAAATATACACCATCATTTGACTCAGCAACCTTACTTCTAAGCACTTACCAAAGAGTAAAGGTTTTCCCTTTACCAGAAACAAAGAAAACCACATATTGTACAAAGATGTATACATAAATATTAATAACAGTTTTATTCATAATAGCCCCAAACTAGAAACAACTTTAAATCTATCCACTGGGGAATGAAGGAACCAGTTGTGGTATATCCATACAAAGTAATAATAGTACCAACAAGGAATAAGCTAGTGAAACATTCAACAATACGATGAATCTCAAAATCATTATGCAAAGCAAAAGTGACAAAAAACAGGCAGTGGTTTGTATGGTTGCATTTATATGCATTGTGTAGTAGAGAAGGCAAGACTTAGGAACTCTGGGCTGGCTCAACCAACTCACAGAACTGAAACCTTAAAGGGTATGAATTGTGCTGTACATAAACTACAGTTTAACCTGTATAAGAAAAAGAAAATTTAGATAGCTCTACTGTGCTGTGAGGGCTGATCAATGTTTTTCAAAATTTATTATTAATACAGACATTTCTATTGCACTGGAAATTCTAAGGGTTTTCGGAGCTCTCTTCCAGGAGCCAGAGTCAAAGCTTAAATGTACTTTATTTTTTTAAAAAATATACCACAGTTTGTTAAATGCAAATTGGTGAGCTTCACCTCTGAGTTTCTGATTGTCAGTCTGGGAAGGGGCTGGGGAATTGGTATTTTAACAAGTGTCTAGGGATGGCGGATGGTGCTCTTCAGAGAGACCACACATGGAGAAATCTGTCCTTGTGGATTACAAATGGTATAATTTCCTTTCAAGTGTCACCTTTCTGACTTCAGGAGCCTCTTCTTCTTTCTCGGTTCCACTGAGGTTTTTTTGTAGACCAGCACATTAATTCTGTTCAACAGTACTCCCAGACTTTACAGGAGAGCAAGAAAACCCTGGGATATGCACCAACCTTCTATAGATTTACCAGCAGTCAAATGGCAGATCTCAGTGGGAGGCAGCTGGTTGAAGAGAAGGAGATGGAATGTGGTAGTCAAGAGAAGGGGACAGCCACTTCAAAGTGAGGCCAGGGCCATGCACTTCCACTGGAGCATCCTCTGCTAGCGGGATGGGTTTAGGCAGCGCCGTGGAGGCTCAGTGACACTAACTTCAGGTACCCTGCCTCAACTACCAGGAAACCCTTATGCATCTAAGCCACTAGCTCCCTTGTTCAATTTCTCAGAGTCAGTCATTTTGTTTTGGCCAGCATTACCTTGTATTTTCCCTTAAACTCTATTTACTTTGAGTTTTAATTACCTTGTGTATGTAGGTACCATGGACCCTTGAGTTACGACCAGCCTGGCATATGAACAACTTGGGTTGTGACCAGAATTTTAGTTTAACTTATGACCAAGGTCTTGAGATATGACCCAAATACCAGCCACTTGTGCTTCCAGATGATCTCAGATACAGATTTAACCCTTTAAGAGTTCTGGAAGGAACACTGCAACATCCTTTCCTGTGTGGGGTTAATTGAGAAATCCTGGGCCAATGTCTTTCTAAGGACACCAAGATCTGCCTGTACACAGGAGAGAGATTTTGAAGGCTGTGTAGAGGAGTCTGAGCTTTCAATTGACTAACTTGAGTTACAACCAGCTCTCAAAAACAAACTGAGTTCTTAAGTCAAGGGTCCACGGTATGTCATCATAATTACCTAAATTCTGCCTAGACCACAATTCTTCCCTTCTTGACCTCTCCTCAGATCCTCTACTAACTGGTTCAACAAGTTTTCCTCAACTAGCTGTGGCTTACACGTCTCATTCCAAATCAGGCTGCCTACCCTCAATCCACTGTAACTTTTAAAAAAATAGCTAAATAAATCTAATATTTCTAATTGCAAATGAACAGAAATTTCACAGCCACACAGAGTCTTAGAACACTAACAACTTTCTCTGTAATGTACTGTAACTTTTGAGAAATGAAAGTTTGGATGGTAAGAAAAACAGTTTTGACACCCCTGCTGCCCTTTTCTTGTTTCCTTTTGCACATCTGTCCTGCCTCACTGCCTTGCAGCTGCCTGGATCCCTCTGGGATTAGACCACACGCGCTGGACGCCTTGACCCAGGGAAGCCTGAAGCTGCTGAAACTCCCTTAATTCCCTTGGCCCCTTCTTTGCAATTGATACATAAACACTGTACATATTTATGGGGGACCACATGATACTTTAATACATGAGTATGTTGTATAATGTTCAAATCAGAATAAGCACATCTCCTGGAACATTTATCATTTCTTTGTGGTGAAAAAGTTCAAACTCCTTTCTTCTAGTTTAAAAAAATATATACTATGTTATTACCTATAGGTACTCTACTGTGCAACATCCCCTGGCTTTGATTGGCCCTGAAAAGGTCAGAAATATACCTACAGAAAAGAAAACTGAATGCAGTCTAGTGTAATGACTCAGAGCATCCACTTAGGAGTCAGACAACCCTGGTTTGAATTCTGGTTTGTCTCTTTCTAGTTATGTGAATTGGGGACGCAAATGTCTATTTGCCCCAGGTTTCTACTGACGATGTCTGCCTCTTATGGGGTCTGTATAGTGTAGTGGTTAGAAGAATGGATTCTCATGTCAGCCATGCTGCCTGGCCTCCAATTTGTGTTTGTCATGTAGTAGCTGTAAGGCCTATCCCAGTTTCTGCACCACCCTGGGTGCTAACTTCTCTAGCTGTAAAGTCGGGGGTGACAAGAGCAGCTGCCTCGGGGAAATGGCAATAGTTCTTACTTGAGGCTCTGGAATATGTGTCTAGCTACTTTCTCCAAGAAGACCAAAATCAAAGAATAGAAAGGGTTTCTGATCTCCAAACACTGAAGTCTGAAAAACACTAGATTACCCAATTTTTACAACACTTTATAATCCCATTATTGTGTATCTGTAATAAAAATGTAGACAACATAAAATATAGTATTTGTAGCTACTTTTTATCCCCTCCCAAGACATTTATTTAATAAAAATAAATCAACCATAGAGAGAAAAATGAGAGGAAGCCAGGGAGAGTGTAGAATGTGGGGGTGCTAGAAAGAGCCCTCCAAAGCAGCTGGGGACAGACGGGAGGAACTGACAGTTGGGGGAACTCAGTGCCGTGGTGGGAACGAAGGAGGTTTAAGTGTCTTCTGCTGCTGCTTGTCAAATTCATTGCAAACCTTTGTCAAATAAAACATTGGAGACTTGAAGAATCAATATAGAGACAGCAAGAATGGGTTGGAGTGAGAGTTTCGAGTCTGAAAGAGGTTCCCATAGCAAGCATTTCCTACAGAGGAACTCCCCCCACCTCTGGTGCAGTTTTAGATCTGTAGAAGCCCATGATATGCAAAGACAAAATCAACACGCTCAAACCTTTCTTTTCATTATGAAGACCCACAGAATATCGTGAGTAAATGTTTTATTAGGAATGAATTGTTCATAATGAAGTAAAATGTTTGCTCAAGTTTGTTAACTGCCATGAGATGCATAGGAAACACTTAAAAATTTGATACCAGGGATTAGTATTTTGTCTGTGCAAAATATGTGATTTAAAAAGTCCATCAAGACAAGCGTGTAAAAGAATAGAGCTGAATATCACCCTTCAAATGCTTTTCCTGCATATTCTAGAATTTTAAATTTGAGGATCTTTCAATGTTTTTTGTTTTGATCTTAGACAATACATCTTACAAAGGAACTCTTTAAAAGAAGGAGGACTCCAATCCCCTCAAAAGTGGTTTTTATATCCACTATGTGGAGCCTTCTGGACCTTGTCAGACTGAAACTCCATTTGTTTCCCATGCAGTTTTTCAAGTTTCCCAAGAAAATATGCTTTTGTTAAAGCAGAAAATGATTGAAAATACCTTCCATAATTTTTTAATTCAAATTACATATTCATATTTGAGGTTTAAATTCCCACTCTCTTATCTTTTAGGGCAGTTTAGCATTAAACAACAGGTATACTATCAACAAATCTGCTGTAATTTATAACTAAACTCTCCCCAGAGAACCTTTCCTCCACGAATAAGAATGGGAACTCCAAGTACCTGGGGGTCTGCATGGGAGAGAGCTCGACTCTGTCCCATCAGATTGGGCAAGGTTACTTTTACAGAGAGCCTCATGCTTGTTTATATAAGGAAGTTATTTTTCTTGGAAAAAAAATTCAACCAAGAACAAATCTAAAATCCAGAGTAGGGATAAGGGGCAAAAGCAGGTGTTTCTAGGGGCCATATTGGCATCAGGCGGCCCTTTTCATCACTGGAGCAGGTGCAGTTGAAAGCAGGTTTCTTCTGTGAAACAAAACAAAAAAGCACATTTAGAGAAATACCAAGAAGAAATTACATCTCTCCCCCAGAAATATCAAAAAAAGAACTGGTTTCCAGTTTAGTTTACTGAATTTCTGGAATGGGTCTCCCTTACTCTGTATGATCAGTAGTAGCAGGAAAAGCAGGCATTTGTCTTAGAACTTATACATTTAAAATGGTCCACATTTTGGCTGCCTAGGAAAGGGAAATTCTTCACAATAAATGGGATTCTGAAAACCCTAGGTGTGCCCGACTTACTTCTGTAAAACTGTGATTAATTTCTGCACCCAGTTGGCTGCAGGATTCAAGCATACAACTGACTTATTCTTCCTCTGGACCCTAGGAAAAAATAAACAAAATTAAAAATGAGAGTAATATATCTTATTCAATCCTTCAGTTTTTAATAATGGAAAGAGTTGGTTATGAAAATAATTAGTCCTAGATGAAGTGAAATTGGAACTGGGCGGTTTCAGATCTAGAATAGGTGATTTGTGGCACAAAGCCTGAATATTAGAAAATGACCATTTGTGGACTGATAGGTGAGAGCTGGTGGATGAATCCAAAATTGACAGAATCTCACATGTCAGAGGTTAGTGTTTTGTCGACAACCTTTACGAATTGGAGAAGGAACAAATAGCTGACCTCAAGATTGGCTCACTTCTAAAGTTATATCACAATATCTTTAAAATATGCTTGTTAGCTGGGTGTGGTGACCTGTAGTCTTGTAGTTCTAGCACTCTGGGAGGCTGAGGCAGGAGGATCACAAGTTCATGTTCAGCCTGGGCAACTTAGTGATTTAGCAAGATCCTGTCTCAAAATAAGAAAGAAAAGAATAGAAAAAGAAAGAATGAAAGGAACGAAGGAAGGAAGAAGGGAAGGGAGGGAGAGAGGGCAGGGCTGAGGATATAGCTCAGTGCAAAGGCCTGGGGTTCAATCTCCAGCATGGCAAAATAAGTAAACGAATGAATGAATGAATGAATGAACAAAATAGGTTATAGAAAACACTTTTATGATCTTTCATCTGAAAAAAACCAATAAAATTTAAAGTGGTAGAGGTTGTAGAGCTAGGTGGTTCCAAGTGATACTTTATTGAACCAGCAGTTAGCAAGACTTCCCCTGTTCTAAGAATTTAGGCTATAGCAAAAGCAGCAATGCTTGCTACTGGCCCATGTTTATCAAATACCATACTCCACAAAATGCCACACACTGTGTTCAGCAGGTAAACATGGACCATCTGGATTCATCTTGTGAAAATCCTGTGCCAGCGGAACTGTTATTTCTTCGCTGTCTGATGAGGATCTTGAGGCTTAGCGAGTTCAAATAACTCATCCAAGATTGCACAGCAAATACAGGAGAGAGCAAGATTCAAATAAAGACTTTATAATTCCAGAACTCACACTTTCAGCCCCTGCTTTCCACAAGCCTGACCTGAATCATTACCAAAGGCCAGACATCGTGCTAAGGGCCCTACCTGTAGTGAAGTGGTCTTCCAGGTGACTGAACATAGGGAGACTCTACCATCTACTGGTGTGGCCTCAAAACATGATTTCTTGACATGTCAGTTATCTTAACTATAAATCAGCAAACAGAAGGCTCCATCCATCCAAATTTGAAACTCCATCTTTGTAGGTGAAGCTTACAGAAGTCAGAAGTCATGGATCAGGTGGATTCTTGGGAGCATCTTTTGATTTCCTTTCAAGTTCATGATGGAAAAACAGATTTCAAACCATCTGGTGCTTTCTCTCCTGATTGATTTGAGTTTTTCCTAAAAATCACAGCTTTTGTTTCTATATCTGGTTGAAATTCAGAAATGCAGAATTTGACAAGAAATATACAGTCAAAGTTTTCATATTTCAAATTTTTCTTATTTCAGAAACATTAAGGCAGAGAAAATTAAGGAGTATCACTTCCTTTGGTTGAGAGGTGAGAAACCTGAGTCATGACAGGGGAAGTGGAATTGAAAGAATCTCAGCTCTTCCATAAAGCCAGGAGAACTGCTTCCATGTGCAACATGACTAGACTTCCCAGCTTTGAGAGCAATAATTGACCTTTAGTTAGAATTTTCACTGGTGAAGAATTTTCACTGGATGAAACTATAATGCTTTTTTAATGAAAATTGCATGTACATTTTTGATATCCTTTATTTCTGTTTCACAAGTTAGGCACACGTCACTGGTATCAAAATGGGACACACAAAATGTAGCTGCTTACAAACATTCCAAAAGCCTAAAGAAGTTCATGGGGACTGGGGGTGTTGCTCAGTGGTGGGGTGCTTGCCTGGCATGTGCAAGGCTCTAGGTTCCATCTCCAGCACCCCGCAATATTTGTGGGAAGAGCTACTAGTAAAAGCAAAGTCAGAGATGCCTTGAGAAGGAGGCTATGTGGACTGCATATTCCAAGGTGTGAAAAGAGGCAGGGAATGGGGTGAATATGGATGGAGCCCTGGCTCCATCCCCACCCTGTGGTGGGCACCAGGTAGGGGTTAGCCTCCCTCTGTCTCTGTTTGCTTATAGATTTTTTTAGGCAGGGTCTCACTATGTTGCCCAGGCTGGCCTCAAATTCACAGCCATCCTCCTTCCTCAGCTTCCAGAGTTCTGGGATTACAGACAGACATGCGCCACCACACCTGGCTCTGTCTCTGTTTGTGCATTTGTCAAGGAGTGACAACAATAAGCACACCTTAAAGGAGCAAGGGAAAGAGAAAAATGAGGGAGCAGGCCAGTGTAAAGCACTCGATTTATACCCGCAGCAAAATAAGTCCTTAAATATTACTGATGCTCATTATTAGTTTCAGAATTTTAGCAGCATTTGAGTAAATCTCAGAGATTATTATCAACCCTTATGGCAGCATTTGATCTGACTTTTACTGGAAGAAAGGAATCATATTTATTTATTTTTTCTTGCAGCTTACATGATTTCTGTGTTTGGGCAACCGTGCCCAGGGGCTCTAACTTGCAGTCGATCAAATCGGTTTATTCGGACGAGGCTTGAGGTTTCTCCCATACATCTACATTTCAGGTTTGTATTGTAAGCCTCCAAAACCCCTGTAAACACAGAATTAGTTATTTTAATCCTTTTGGCATATAATTTGTAATGAAAACCAAACCTCATACTCTTTTATTTGAAGATTTGAACATTTCCGACTGGCTGGGCATGGGATTGCACACCTGTAACCTCAGCAATCTGGAAAGCTCAGGCTGGAAGACTGAGAGGTTGAGCTTAGCCCTGGCAGCTTAAAGACTTAGCAAAACCCTGTCTCAAAATAAAAAATAAAAAAAGAGCTGGGGATGTAGCTCAGTGTGAAGACCTTGTGTTCAATTCCCACTACCAAGTAAATTAAAATATAATAAAAAATAAAGTTCCAGCTGGTATGCTCAGCCATATATGCCTTCAGTTTGTGCATTTCCATTTGTCTTGGCTTGGATAATTTTAAATGTATTCTATCAAAACCTTAAAAATAAAATTGGTTTATAAGAAGCATAATGCTTAATGAAATTTGTGGTCACTTTATATTGCTACTCAGGTGATTGTTTATATAATAAAAGTTGAGAACTACCATTTAGGGACACACAACTCAGCTATAGTTAAGGCAATTTAAAAAATCAACCAACTGCCAGCACATGAAAACAGAAGCCGTGATCTGGTTAGCAATATCTGCAGAATAACATGCTGGAATAGGGTTCTCTCTCTTACCTGCCCCACTCCACTCTCTATTACATAAAATGCCATAAAAGGTACTTTTTTTTGTATTTGTTTAATATGTTAGTTCTCTATGTCAGTTGCAAATTATTACCAGAAAACAAACCAATTGTAAAAATTCAAGACTATTTTCATTCAACAATAAAAGTTATTTGTAGGAGATATTATTTATAAGTAACTCATCTCACGTATTTCAATGAAATTCACACCTCTTTTTAAAAAAGACATTATCAAGCCCTATTTATCCATAGTGCCTACCACTATGCTTGATGTGCATTTATAAATAAAATGGCCCAACTTGAGGGTTTACACAATTTGGTGGGGATAACAAGTGAACAAAAACTAAAATACCACAGAAGGTGGTATTATATCCAAGCTCTGTGCTGCATCCTGATTACTAGTAGCTAAACTTGTCAGAAGCAAAAGGAAAGCTTCATAGAGGAGGAGAGAAATGAGTTTTTAGAGAGCGCAAATAACATATGAAACAAAATAAAAATGGGGGGACTCCATTTTAAGCATAAAAATTTATCTTCTACACCTGGAGATTGTTTCTTTCTGTGCCTGCATCCTTTCCTTCAGCCATACAAACACTGCTACAGCTAGATATTTATCTAGTTCCATGCAGATAGCAGCCCCACTTCAATTCACAAGTCTGCCTTTTTGCAGAATGTGTATCCTTTGTCCCTGGTGCACTTACAAGGCTTGATGAGTGTCCCATGTGGGACACTGGTTGATGTCAGTAACGTTAGACCCTGTAAGGGGTTGGTGAGGGGTGAGAGCAAAATGAAGAGATATAACAGAAACACTTATTACAGCAGGGGATGGTCTGAAAAGAGACAGGAATACACAAACCAAATACAAGTCACATGAACATTGGACTTCCAGAATTGCCTCCTTCTTCAAATAAAAATCTTAATATAAAAGTTCCAGTTTCTACTCCAAATTCCTTAAGCACCTTATGTTTAGAAATCTAAAGCAATTTTTCCCCCTTCAGTCAGACTTCCTCAATTTTTAATTGAAGATTTTTAAAAATGGAAATGACTGAAGAACATTTCTGTTAACAGGAGAGCTCAACACAAGTGAAAGTTCTCACCATGGCCTGGAGAGAAGCTGCTGATCAGCACTGTGAGAAGCAGAGCAGCCGCACTGAGCCTCATGCTGCCTAGGGGGATGCGCTCTTCCCTGAGTCCGAACTGTGGCTTCGCAGCACCGGGGACTCCTATTTATTTATACCCTCCAGGGCCCTCCCACTGCCTCTCTCCAGTAGGTCAGCTGCATCATCAGCTCTAAAAGTCCCCAAATATTGCTGAGCTTGCTTTTCAGGAAAGAAAAAAACTTGGCTTGCAAATTTTATGAATTTATTCAGAGCACTATTAGTATAATAAAATATTTCCTGAATACGTAGAGTAAGAATGTCAGGGATGCTATAGAGATTTGAGGGTGAGAAGAGAGGATAGAGGTCACAGTTGGAGACTTTGAGGGACTCTCTTGGGATCATTGTTGATGGCTGCGGCTTTGATTGCTTCTCTCAGTGAAGGGCCAGGAAAGTTTCTCAATGGCATTTAAATATAAGCTTCATGGCATTGTGGACTCTGTTGATCATGTCTTTGTGTGCCTAGCACCTGCAAGAAAGCTGTGCCCCTGGCAGGTGCTCTGTGGATATTTGCACACCTAGTGATTGCCTCCTTACATGTAGGTCCTTATGCTGATGAGCTACAGTTTTCTCTACCATCCCTTTTTTACTGAGATATGTGATTATGTAATCTGACCATCATGGAAATTTTGAGAGCAGGAGTATGTATCCTCTCCTTGGTATGCCTGTGTCTTGATAAAGAGAGGGAGGAGACAGCAGGTTTGGAGAAGAGCATCTTTTCAGATGTAGTGTACACGTCATTGAGCCTGAGAAGTGTGTGCCAATGGAGAGCCAAGAGAACTCCATCAGATGGTACACCTTGTGTTAGACTGTTTAAGCTAAGTGAAGTTTAGTTTGATCTCACCAAATAGTCAGGGGACAGCCAGCCCACAGCCTTGCCTCATTTGCTATGGGTTCTTTGGTTAAAAAATATATGGACAATGGCCAGTCTGGTCTCCAGTATTGCCAAACCACCCTGGAAATAGGCAGGTGTGGATGTATCACATCAGACCCACTGGACAGCTGAAGTCAGAAGTTTAGTCTTCCAGTGTGACTTTCTGAACATTAGAAAAGTGCTCCGGTGACCATAGTACTCCAGAAGTGTAGGGTGGGGAGTGTCATGTCACACAAGCTACATGCACCAGGCAATTCTCCAGGTGGCCTGAATGACTGTGTGATAGGTAACTTCATCTGGATGCAGTTTGGCAGTTCTAGTTGTTAGAAAGTTCTTGCTTACATATATGTGAAAGCTGCTTTTCTAGCAGTTGAGTCATTTTGTCCTAATTCAATTCTTTATCAACACAAAGAACAATTCTAAATGCTCTACCTTATTATGGCATTTCAAATTAAAAAATAATTTTTTGTGGTATTGGGGACTGAATCCAGGTCTTTTACACTGAGCTACATCCCCAGCTCTTTTATTTTTTAATTTTGATACAAGGTCTTGCTAAATTGCCCAGGCTGGGCTTGAACTTTTGATCCTCCTGCCTCAGCCTTCCAGAAGGCTGGGATTACAGGCATGCACCACCACACCTGGTTTACTCCAAATATTTGAAATCATGGTGTATCATTGAGTACACTGCAAAACAGATGAGGGTAGACTTTGGAGTAAAAATTTTATTCAGAGTAACTCCTAGATGGTAATGAGGGTAGGAGGCAGAATTGGGCAGTGCAATTCCCCCTTGAAGAAATCACTTCCTGGCCAGCAGCAAGCAGTGCAGGCAGTTGACATCCCCTGCTTCTGCTTGTACGTCAGAGGCCATTGCTATTTCTAAAGAGGTCTATCTTCATGACCTAGCATGGCAAGGGGAGCAGAACACTGCTGGACACTTCTGCCATTGTGGACCACAAGAGACAGTCTTTTCTCTGGAGCTCCCTGGTGAGTTACCATAGTCTTTGTCAGAGCAGCATTGCAATCTGAGGCTTGCACTGCCCAATTCTGTCTTCTCTGGCTGTCATGCAGGGCAATAAATAAAGGTTAACAGACCAAAGTATGGGGTCACCTGATCAAAGACTCTGAACAGTTCATTTAATTTCTCTAGGCCATATGCCAATCCATTTTCACATGGAGATACTAATTTCAGAGGCTTTGGAGAATGAAATCACCTGCTGTAAGTGTATGTGGTAGAGTGTATGGTCTTTCTATCTATCCTTCCAACTACCCACTCATTTATCAATCCATCCATCCACTCATCCACCCATTGTTTTTACTGACTTCTAAAGTTCTAATGCAATACTTCCAAGATAATTACTCCAATTTATTTGAATGTATAGCACACTTTGAAGCTCTCTCTCCATCTTGGTTTATCTTTTCCAAACCCATTGATCTTTTCATTGTTTCTTGTAAATCTGACTACCCAGCCTTTCACCTCACTATCACCCTCTTTGACTCACAGTCACCCTCCTCCAACACTATACCACCCCAAATGTGGCTTTGCCAGTACAAGATAGAGGAGACTCATTATCTTACTCATTCCAGCCCTATTCTTCTAATGAACTCCAGGACTGAATAACATTGCAGTTCCTTATACTGAGTTGGTAATCAATAAAATACTTCTGTTTCTTTTGAAAACAGTTTCTGACAATGTCTATTTCATATCACTTTTGTGCAATTTGGTCTTGGGATTCAGTATAGATGCTTTTACATTTGTTATGAGCACCATTAATTCTTTGTCAAACAAAAAATGAGTGATGCAGACAATAACTATAGATGCATAGGGATATAGAAATTTCAAGCCAGACACTCCATAATATATATCATCTACAGTAGAAGTGTGACTTTCAAAAACTTAAAGCCAAGAACAAACAACAAACAAAAACTCAAAATGTTTAAACCAATAGATTTAGTCAAAACATCTTATTTTTAAAATAAATTTTGTGGATACTCTTGTTTGGAAACAACTTGGTTTATATCAAGCCTGAATTTTATGATCAGACACATACACAGTAGGCCACAAATGAGAAAATTATGGAGAAGGGTTTTTTCCCTTGACTCTGGCAGCAAAGCACAATTTCTTCCAGACTCAAGAAAAACTAGGTTGTCTAGCACCTTGTACTTCAAACTGTGGTCCAAGAGCTGGCACCATCAGCTTCACCTCAGAGCTGGTTAAACAGGCAGAATTTCAGGTCCTGGCTTCTAACAAGATCCCCAGGTGATCAGAGCTCTCCTTGTCTGTCTGAGAAGCACAGAAGCATAGGCTTCATATAGCACAGCCACACAGTGTCTGTGATGTCTTTTCCCTGTGGTCCATAATGCACACTTGTAGGTGACCCTGAGTCCCTGGCCCCAAGCTGGGGCACCACCCATAGCCAGCTCACCAGAGCAGCCTTGCTTCAGGACCTAGACAGTTACTTTGTTCCTCCCTGACCTGGGGGCGAATGAGGATGAATAATAAAGAGACAAAGCCCTAAACACATGAGCAACAAGGGGTCTCATCCTCCGGCAGGCCGAGAAGCCGGAGCCTTTCCCTCACCTCACCTTTATTGACCCAAACATGGGCACAAGCAATCAAAGTAACAAAAGATTCATCTGCTTTCCAGTATCCATTAGTTCATGCTCTGGTAGACAACTTAACCTCAGCTGTCTTAACTTTTCCCTAGTATGCAATCACCCCTGAGTGCAGCCTTTCTCCTTGGTGCTCACAGAGGAGGCCAATTAGGCCTTAATTCCCCTCTGGTCCTCAACACACACTCAAGTCGTCATCAGATCTATGCTGAAGCAAAAGTCCTCCCAGAACAAGATGTGCAGAGACCTTGGTTAAAGTGAGCAGAACAAACCTGTTCCCTGACTCCTAAACCCAGAGCAGTGACAACAGCAAGGAGGACATTTCTCCAGATACTGAAAAATGAAAGGTCTCTAAAGTAATGAGGTGGCATAACTGGTCAGGGTATCTGCTGATCTAGGCAGGCAACGGGTGCTGAGTTTTAAAGGGGTAAAATCCTGACTTTTTTATTAGTACATGTGTGCGGTACGTACTGTTTTGGTTCTTTGTGTAGAGCTGGTACATGCACATAACACATCTTCGTTCCTTTTTTTGTTCCCTCTCTCCATCTCCCGATGGCCCTGCCATTTGAGAGAGCTCTATTGCCCTACTTCCTATTATCTTTTAATTTGCTCTTAATTTATAGTTTGGGTTTTTCATATAAGAGAAACCATGTGATTTTTAAGCTTCTGTGTCTGATTTATTTCACTTTAACATAATGGTTTCAAGGTGCATCTATTTTTGACTCAAGTGTATCTTTCTTTATTGCAGAGTAGTATTCTACTGTGCATAAATACCATGTTTATAGCAGCACAATTCATGATAGCTAAATTTTGGAAGCACCCTATATGTTCCTCAACAGGTGAATAAATAAAATCCTGATATTTTAAAAGTGGCTTGAAATATGAGACAAACATCACTGTGACAAAACACAAAAGAACACTTTTTCTCATGCCACTCAACTAGAAAACAGAAATTGACTATTCTGTGAGCACAAGTTGTACGCTAGACAGGTGATACATATTGCTTCCTCGTATCTCTCCACACAACAGCAAAGCTTTATGAGCTGGGGTGCGAGCTCTGGCCTGCAGTCAGACTGTCTGGGTTTGCAGTCCAGCCCCAGCTCATCCTTGACTTGGTAACTTTCCTATGCTACAGTTGCACTTAGGGCAATCACAATGCGACTTTCTTATAGGGTAGCGATTCCTCCAAAGACTGCTAGGTGGCAGTATTACTTACAAAACTGGCTTGCAGGGAAAAGTTTTGTTCTCAGGTATAGGATGCAGGCCACTTGATGGCAAGGACTGTTGCAAGTTTTTTTCAATTTTTAAATCATTTTTATTTAGTTGGTTGCTTTTAAAAAATATTGTGAGGTTTGAGTTTTTGTTTTTTTTTTTTGATTAGGCTGAAATGTTCATGAAGAAGGAGAGAAAACTCCCTAAAAATCTGAAATAATCCAACCAATTCTGGGCTAAATCCAACTTCTTGGCTGTGAGGTTGCAAAATCAGATTGCACATCAGTCTCTGGTGTCGATCACATTTGGCCTCAGCACCAGCTGTGTGAACCTTTCATG